GCCAACCACATCGGAGACTCGCCACTCGCAAAACACCACCCACCCAACACCACTCGCGAGAAACACGCCACTCAATCACACTCCCCCAATGCTCATCATTATCCATACGCTCACCAGACGTTGTTTCCCAGTGGGTGTCAAAAGATTCCGTGGCGTAATTCGCAAGAGCAGGCCATCGTGTGCGGGCTCCGTGGTCCACATTGACCACAGTTGAAATATTACCCGCAGATGGAATGTTCACCGCGATCATCACGCACAATGCAAGGCCCTCATTCATGTACAGGGACTCCTCTACTTGCGAAACAGTTAGGGTCTAAAGGTGCTGTTCGTAAGTCGATTTGTTCATAAGTTCAACTTTACTCCTGTCGATTGAAAACGTGTTTTACGGCATGTACACGACACGCGGGGAATTGCTTAAAAAGTTGTATAAATCTCCTGACACACTCACCACTAACTCCCCTATTACTCTTTGGTTCTTTCGGTAAAGTCACGTAGAAAGAAAATAAATGAAATAATAGAGTGCGACGTTTCGATTGCAACACATGCAACCGTCATCAGGTAGAACTAAATTTGAGAGAGAGACAAAACACAGACACGGAGACACACAGACAGACACACAAGCAGAGAGAGAGACAACACAGAGACACACACAGAGAGATTCACAGACAGACACACAAGCAGAGAGAGAGACAACACAGAGACACACACAGAGAGATTCACAGACAGACACACAAGCAGAGAGAGACAACACAGAGACACACAGAGAGAGACATACAACATAGACACAGAGACCCAATACCTCTGTGTCGAGGCCTTAAATAGAGAGGGGGGGGGGCAGAGAGAGAGAGAGAGGTGGGTCTGCTGGGGCAGCTGCTGGAGCAGAGAAATTAGCATGTCAATGAATCCACCCGAAGCGACCGAGGGAAAGATAACCTTGTAAATTTTAGAGAGAGAAATAGTTTGAGAAAACAAAATTTAGCAAATCTTTTGTAAATGTAATGTAATGCAACACAGAGAGTCGGCTAACACACAGTTAACGCATAGCCTGGTTGATTATGATCTCCACAGATTGCTCAAATTAGAAGTTAAGTGTGAAATTTGACCAACAGAGACACACAGAGCGATGTGGCCTGCAGTCACGAAAGCTTCAAATCAAGTTTGAACCTCCCCTATTACTGGCGTACACACACTCACCTCTACACGCAGCAGTGCATCGTGCCCAACACAAGGCGCACAGCGCACTGCAACTGGCAGTCGGCAACGTTTCGGGCAATGGCAATGAAGAAGGGCCGTGAAAAAAATGTGTTATTGACGAAAGAGTTGAGCTTTTAGATTTAAAGGCTTCGTGACTGCAGGGATTCATCTTCTTGGTTCTTTCGGTAAAGTCACGTAGAAGGGAATTAATAAAATAATAAAAATTAAACTATAAAAGAATTCTCACTGTGAGAATTATTTTATTGGTTTATTATTTTATAATTTCCCTTCTACGTGACTTTACCGAAAGAACCAAGAAGATGAGTTGAGCTTTTGCTCGTTGTATGTGTGTACCACTGGCGAGCGAGCACGTGCCGCTTGCCGACCCGACCCTACTGGAACACGTGGGTGACAAAGAGCTTCGTCGCCAATCGGATGCCTCCAGTTTTCATGAAGATTCTGATCGATTCTGATTGATTCTGAACCAAGCATCACCAAACAATTTACAATCAGCAGCCGTCAAGTTTTTTAAACATCTCAGTCAAAAGTGCTAAGCCGGATATTACAGTATGTTAAATTCAATTACAATGACCCCTGCATTGTTCTGGTCAAGTCCAGGATGAGTCCTTTCGGACGAAAGCTACTCGAGTAAATACTGTGGGCACCACGGTGACTGGTATGCAGAAGGTCGTGGGTTCGATCCTGACCCTGACGTCTGCTGTATATTTGGAGTTTGAATGTTCACCCCGTGATCGCGTAGATTTTTCTCCGGGTCCTGTGGTTTTTCCCTCCACGTTTAGAAACGTGGGTTTTTTTAATATTCGGCAGCTAGAAAGTTCCACATGATAATAAGACACTTCGTTGCGCTATCATTTTTGGCCAGGTCGATTCTAAAAAAAGAGCTATGATTGCTCAGTGGGCTTTACCTCGTAAAATAAAAACGATATATATTCGTTTAGTTTAGTTTAGAGTGACAGTCAATTTAACACGGAGGCTTTCGCGACCAATATCATCCATAAAAGAGGTGTTTTTGGCCACCACCCGACACATTTGCTGGCGGGTTTAACGGCACATTTATATATGTACGCAATCTAAAAAAAAAACCATTACGAGTGACAATCACTCTTTGGCATGCCTATGGAGCCCTCCCATGGGCTCGTGCATTGCTCATCTGCCTCCTCATCCGTTCGCGTTTCCTTTGCCCCCCCCCCCCCCATGTCATTGTAGTGCGTATTTAATGTGGCACTGCACTCTTATGTTGAAGGAGAAAACATTTGTTAAAAGTCTATTTAATCAAGTAAAACGTGTTGCCTATGTTTATTTAAAGTTGCGCATTTTGATGTGACGTCACATTTCTCAACCCCCCTCCCCTCGTCACACATCGTCACAAATGTCTGACCCCCCCCCCTAGGTGCGTGACGTCATTTATGGACGGCCCCAAGGTCACTTTGTCCCAGGTTAAGCTCCATATGTTAGAGGTGGCTTTTCTTCAAGCCCTTCTGTCCGCCCTTCGTGACGTCATTGAGTCGAGTAAATGTTGTCACAATACCGACAATCTGTCCTGCGAGCGGTGTGGTGGGATACTGTATTCACTTGACTATCAGCATTAAATTTAATCGTATTCATAACTTACTGATTTATCCAGGAAGGCCCCACACTGAGCCGCAGGAGGGTCTTGCATTGGGTTCTAAATGTTAATATATTTTAAGCCAATTAATGTTGACTGTTTACTGTATACAAGTATGAGGGAACTGGAGTGCCCGGAGAAAACCCACACACGCACGAGGGAGCAACACGGTCTCCCCGTACAGACGGAAACAGATGGCGATTAGTCCCCCATACAGACGGAAACAGATGGCGATTAGTCCACTTGCTGTACTGCCTTCTCGCGGGGAGCCAGGGTATGGCAATCCCATCGACGCCCACGGGAAGGGAGCTTCACAACATTTTGTGCGGTGACCCACTAACCCTCGTTGCCTCCACAGTGCCGGATTGCAGGCCACGTGCATAGCCACCACCGCCCGGCTGAATTCACGATTCAAACTCACGAGACAGCTCGCCGCTAACCTGACAACCACTCACCAGACGCATCAGCATCAGCCGCCAACAATAATCGCACCGTCATCATCATTAGCAGCAAGCATCTGTAGTATCAACAACAGCAGTATAAGTAGCAGCAGCGTACCCAATATCATCACGAATTCGCATGCCTCATCTCGGTTGGGAAGCGCGCAGCTCATTTGCACGGAAGCTGTGTTTCACCCCCCCCCCCCACCTCTCTCATCGACAGTCTGCTATAGTCTGCAGTCCGGCATCGAGGCGACACGACTGCATGAGTAGAGGACATCTCAATAGATGAGGTGGCGCAGCCCTGCAATTCCTCACTCACGCCGCTGCTGGCGGAAGGGCTAACACGAGAGGGAGCTCTGGAGAGCCCTACAATGACGGGATGTTTCCCCCCACGCTGCTCAGACGTCTTGGAATAAAATTTAAACGATAAATAAATATATTTTACCAGGTAAGGCCCACTGAGCTAGATATATAGCACTTTTCGGAAGCGACCTGGCCACAAATGATAGCTCAACGAAGTGGCTTATCATCACGTGGGCATTTATAGCAGCCAAATACTCTCAACGCGTGTTTCAAAATGTAGAGGGGAAACCCGGAGGATCCGGAGGAAACCCACGTGACCGCGAGGAGAGAAACACGCAGACTCCAAATATAGCACAGGCGTCGGGGTCGGGATCGAACTTGCGACCTCCTGTATACCAGGCGAGGTAGTTAACATCTCCTAGCCACCGCGCAAGAGGTAGGAGTCACCCGTCGTGTCCCACCACACGCTACACGGTGTCTCCATCTCGACTGATTGGTGGACACAGGCGGGGGGGGGGGGGACATGAAGATACGCGCATTGTTCAATCTGCCGCGCCGGGAAATCGAATCGAACCGGCGACCTTCTGGATTGCAATACTGTACATGTCCATGCCCAACCAATATATTGATTTATTTTGAACTTCTCTAACACCGTACGTAGCCGAACCGATCTAATCTGAGCTGCGGGTGGAAGGATAGACTAAGCATAAAAAGTGGTTCTAAAGAAATTCGTTTTCAATCTGGACGATTTTAAAGTGCGTAGCTCCAATGGTTCCCCTAATATCGGAAGAGCATCCCAGGCGGCCGCAGGGCTTTTGAAAGCGCCGCGCGATGCGGCGACCGCCGTTTTTGTTCGATGGCCAGCAGCCAAAAGCCGCCCCTGCGAGGATGAACGGAGTTCGCGTGATGATGGTCTATGCCCTCTGACGAGATCAGCATCGAGCTATTGGTAGGACACGAACTGCCCCAAACCCCCATGCAGGATACCCCCCCCTTCACCCCCGGCGTAGTGGACGGGGGGGGGAGTGGCCCTCACCTGCACGCGTGCATCACCCCCCCCCCCCCCGCGGCACTCACACAGCCACCGCGCCCCACCGCGACTCGAGACCTCCCTCCTCGCGTCCGGAGCGTTTCAATTGGGTGACCCCCTTAGAGCCAATCATCTCGCCGGGCCGCAGGGCGGTAAAGAGGGACGTGCGCGTTCCTCCTCCCTGCGCGCTTCAAAGTGGACGACTCCTGCTCGCCGACGGTGCTGGCGATGACGATGATGGCATCGGTGCACCGCACGACACTTGAGCTCTGAGCGCCGTTCTGCGTCGCTGGAGGAAAGTGGAGCGAGCCGTCAGCCTCCGTCGGCATCGCGTAGCGCAGTGAAGACCCCGGCACGAGTGCGGGCACCGCTTAAACTTGCTCGCTCCGCTGACCGTGGCCACCGTACGTGGATGGAGAGAGGGGTTCTTAGGTGAACATCACAGGGGCGGGTGAGGAGGTGGAGGTGGGGGGTAGATTCTGTAGCGTTACGCGTAGCCACGCCTGCGAGAGGAAACGAAAAAACGCGCTCCCCTGCAGCTGAGACGGGCAACTCACGGAAACAGAAGCGCACGTACAGCCAGCGACGTGCACGCAGAGATACCCGCTTCATCACCCGTCCCAGGAGCTACCACCAACCCCGACCAGAGCGTCCTATCGAGGTGAGTGTTTACGCAGCAAGCCGCGTAGTGGGCCGGCGGGTCGCGCACTGCGATCCCAGTTCGATTCACGGTCCGCTGATCGCAAACGTCAGCTGCGAGTGGCGTCTGAAGCTGCTGCGGCCCTGAGTCTCCCCGAATTTGAATGAACCTTAAATAAGTGTACCTGGTGCGGACAATAAACGTCATTGATGGGGAGACAAAGGCGGCCAGGCGTGGTGGCGGCCACACCACCAACCCCCCGGTGCGCCTTGGCGCTCAAGCTCAATTGGAGACTCTATTCACGTGAGTAATTAATGAGACTTACCAACAATGGCCATGGTAATGCGGCATTCAAAACCACGTGTTGATGATGGACCTGGATTGTGATGCTAATGGCAGTCACAGCGGCGCACGTGCCGATGCTGCGGGGACGGCGGCGACGAGGCGCAGGTCGAAGCTGCCTCTCCTGGAGCGGTGGCGCAATGCTTAGCGCACTGCGCTACGAAGCCGAGGATTTGCCGGTCGGCTGCCCCCTGTCCACGGCCTAACACCAGTGACGAGTCCGGTGAAGTATAGGTCGGACAGCGATCGCGGCCGACACGGCCATGGGGTGGCCTTCATCCAGCAGCGGATTGAGCAAACGCAGTGGATCGCATTTGATTATTGATCCGGCATAATCGTGATAACAATGATACTCTTCTTGGTTCTTTCGGCAAAGTCACGTAGAATGGAAATAATAAAATAATAAAAATTAAACATAATTAAATAATTCTCACGACGTTTCGGCCACAACGCAAGCAGCCGTCCTCAGGTGAAGAATAGGTCTGTCGAGAAGATGTTTTATTTTTATTATTTTATTATTTCCATTCTACGTGACTTTACCGAAAGAACCAGGAAGATGAATCCCTGCAGTCACGAAAGCTTTAAATCGAAACAATTTTAATACTGAAATATGTGAAGTGAAGAAGGGCTATGGCCAGAAACGTCGTCGATTATATATACTTTTTTACAGCAGTATTGTTGACTAGTGTGTTGCGTTTTATGTATTACTCGTGCTTAGCTTGATCACAAAATAACGTGGAAAATGTAATGAACTGGCAGACTTCATTGCAAGGGTGCAGCTCTCTTGCGGGCGTTGGCGTATCAAGGACTGGGGTCTTGAAAACAAATCGATGGCTCACTGCTTGATGAGGCATCTGCCTCACCAGTCCATCGTGACAATTGCTCCGATGAGCGCGATTTGAGTGACAGTGCCACTCCGCATGCGCCGTGGTGAGAAGTGGGCGCGTCCTGTCCGCTGCTGTAACTTACGATTCATGTTCTCCACACCGGGGTCGAGAGATGATCTTGAGTTATGTACATCGCTATGCAACTTCGCGTTGATCTGTGACCCCATAGCGCAGACAGAAGGCGCTTCCTTGTCTGTGTCGGGAGCGGCGGTTCGCCGGCATTGAATTAAGAGAGCCTGGCTCCTGCTTGATAAGACACTTAGGAGTCGAAGGCCGGTTCAGGGACTTGCTTGTCTTGAGAGAATGCTGCTGAAATGATGCACTCCCAGAAATCAGTGCGAGTAATAATTGTAGACTTTGCGTACGGAGAGACGGGTATGTGAAGGAGAGACTATTGCTGCTTCTTAAATGCAATTTTTTTGTGTTCTCCAACAACGACTACAATTAATTATTATGTTGAGGTGTGCAAATGCGCGCGTCACAAAGCACTGCGTGTGACATCCAGGCGTCCGTGGGCAACCGCGCTCATCCTGCACCTCCGATTAGCACGGTTGGCTACGTACGGTGCGAAATAAGTTCAACACACACGCGTACATGCACACGTTCGATGACCGAATTGTGAACGTTTCATTGTTTTTCGAAAATATCTTCATCCTGCACCAACAACATCAAAGACAAAGATCCCCCGTGTCGCCTTAACAGACTGTTGGGGCAAGTTGCTGTTAGCGAGCACCTATGAAGGCCGGCACGGTACACGAGGGGGTGAGTGGCCAACACCACGCCCGGCCGCCTTTGTCTCCCTAGTGGCGATGTTCACACATCGCACCAGGTACTCATTTGAGGCTGAGTCGATCTAGGGGAGTGCCCAGAACCTGTTCAGATAATCGTCACTGGTGTTGGCCGTGAGCGAGAATCGAACCCGGGTCGCCAGGTTCGTAGCGCAGTGTAGCGCTAACCGCCACACTACCGCTCCCCAACATCATCATCATCATCATTATTTTCAGCCCTTTGTCAATCGCTTGTGCAGCGGGGCAAGTGGAGTGCACGCTCAAAGCAGCCGCATCACGACCAACTCTCCCACACGGCGCCGTCTGTGCACACAAACAGTCCGCACCACGCGCAGAAACAATCACGGTCCGAATAGCGAAGCGCTGTAGTCCTGCATTCGTTGCACAGAGGAGCGATAGCAAGAAGCGACCCCACCCCCCTCCCTCTCCTCCCTCTCTCCTGAGCCCTCTCGTCGTAGCCAGCAGACCTCGGCGGTGGCACTGCGCTCCTGGACAAGGCGCTTGCTGCCTGCCACACGCAAGACGATAATCTACACGCGGTAGAAAGAGCAGTGGCGGGTTTTTTTTATCGTTCGGAAGAAGTCGTCTTATGCGTCGCGTATCACACCAATTCTCTCCTAGTACGCTATCACAGTTTGGCTCTATGCGCACTGCTATAATTATCACAAAAACAACACTGCACTGCCCTTTGTTAATCTTCTACTGGATGAAGTAATTAATTGACAATGATTGAAATATACGTGGCCAATTAACGAACTATATTTTAATCAAATTAATGAATTGAAGGCATCTCAATGCCGGGTCGTTTATTACGGTGGATGCTGTGCCGTACTTCCACCACCTCTGCCACAACGCAGGTTCGTGCAGGGGGGGGGGGGCAGTCAGGACAAATTCAGATGTCACTCATCGGCACTGATGGTGCGCTAACCGCTGCGCCACCGCTCCACTTTGTTGTTTGTTGGACGGCATTGTTCCGTGACAAACGGCAGCAGTGAGAAGAGTTGAGCAGGAGCGAAAACAATCCACCCGTCAGTGAGCGGCCGCGAACGGAAATATGAATCGGTAAATATTTCTGCTCCGCGCTGAACTCATAAAAGGATCAGAGGGACACGCCGGGGATGATGCCGTGGAGGGGGGGAGATGATGCATACACCGGTTCGATTTCCCGTGGCGGCAATTGAATCGATGGGCAGGTTTCCTTACCACCCCTTCCCCCCCGTCTCTGTCCACCCATCCAGCAGCACACACCGCAGTCAGCAACACAAAGTCGGCCGGTGGATGAATTTGCAGGCTGTGCTTAGTGGGTGTAAAGCGTGGGTACTCACACCTCTGGGAAGACGTCTGGCCAACGCGAACGAGTCGGCAAAAGAGACTCTAAGAGGGTCTCTCCAGAGCTCATTGAAGTTGGTGGAGGCCCTTCTCTGCCAGCAGTGGCCTGAGCAAAGAATTGCAGGGTTGCCCCTTTACCTTCGCCACAGTGACCCCATAATAGAGCATCGCGTTACAGTCTATCTATCTCGTCGCAATAAAGGTTTCATTTTATTTACGACGGGCTGTACAGCAAGTGGGTTGTTAACCCATCTCTATATATTTTGAGTGGTTGTCCGCTTCTAAGTGGTGGTTATCTCCGGGCACATCCGAGTTTATCCCAACGGCTATGTGCTGCACAAGCACGGCGTGCATTTATCATCCACGGTTGATTTTTTTAAGAAGCAGAAGTTTTTTTTTTTTTACCGACTAGAGACGCACGGAGAGTTGAGTTGACCCGAAATTGGGATTTCAAGTTGCAACATTTCAAATGTGAGCCGCGAGCTATGGAAAAACTCGCCCTATGCCAAAGCAATGTGGAATTTCGCCCTACTTTGACTTTCAACAAAATCTCAGCAGCGCAGTCGTGCACTTCCGTGAAACGGCGCTTTGGAGGCAAGGGTTGGTGGGCCACGTAGAGATTGGTGAAACTCCTAAAGCCGCTCGGCTGCAAGGTGGCCGGATGGAAGTTCAAAATGGGTTCTTCACGGGCTCTTGAATCCATATGTGGGGAGCTTTAATTGGCACGTGTTGGTTGTCTCTAGATAATCACGACTTCTCCCGCTAGCCACAAGGTAAATTAGCCAAGCACCACAATCGTAGGACCCTCCTGATGATATCGTCTTGAGGCAGTGAGGCTTTTCTAGATAGATACACGGAGCGATACTGATTTATGCCCCTTTGACAATACACTGCTGTCTGAAGGCCTTTTCGTTCCGTGTCGGTCATAAGGTTAGTTTGACCATACTTCACCACGCCAGTCAGTGGGGGTTGGTGAAGAGCAGGAGCTCAGCGCCAGTACAGATATCGCTCCGTGCCACTGATGTTAACTGTGGCCGGGAATCTAGCTGAGGTGGCCGGTTCTTCGGGCAGCACGCAAACCACTGTGTCACTGCACCGCTCCACCTGGTTACACGGTGGCGAGATGTTAACTACCTCGCCTGGTTTACAGGCGGTCGTGGGTTCGATCCCGACTCTGACGCTTGTATATTTGGAGTGCGCGTGTTCTCCCCGTGGTCGCGTGGATTTTTCTCCGGGTCCTCCGGTTTTTCCCCTCCACATTTAGAATCAACGTGTTTTTAGAGTATTTGGCAGCTATAAGATTTTTACGTGATCAGCCACTTCGTTGGGCTATCACTTGCGGTCCGATCGCTTCTGGAAAAGAGCTACATAGCTCAGTGGGCTTTACCTGGTAAAATGCAACTAGTTTAGTTTATAGTTTTTACAATCATGAATTCAATATAATAATTTACAGCGCTTTGTCAATCCACTGCTGCATGGAGGCCCTCCCCACGCCGTTTCAATCACGAGGGTTATTCGACCATGAGTCACCACGTTGACCAGTGCCGGCTGGTGAAGAACCCAGAGGCCTGTCCAAGTTTCACTCGCCACTGACGTTAGCCGTGTCCGAGGATCGAACTTCGGTGGCGCTTTGAGCACGCATGCATGTCACAGCCCAAGTCATCAGACAGACCGACTTCGCAGTTTTGCGATAATAATAATCACTCGCACAATTCGCTCCATCTCGTCAGATCTTGGAAGCTAAGCAGGCTGGAACCTGGTGGGCGAGTGCTTGGAATGGGCGAGCATCGCCCACGAGCAGTTTGTTAAAGGCGCACCCTCGGAGGTTGCACTGTGTGCCGGGCAGCAAAGGGGCAGTGTAGCAACAACCCAATATTGGACGGTACTTTCTATGCTCCCGCTTGTACGGCTCTCTGCCTTCAACAAACCGTGTTGACCGGCCGGCATAAAGTATTTACCTTGGGTTTATTTTGTTTAACCACGTGAGACCATGATAAGCCTAATATGCAAGAGCCATCTCGGCCATGATTTCTGCTGTAATTGCGGATAACTTTCAAATGTAGAAAATTTGGACCACGACACCAGCACACAATGGCCTAACCCTTGCGAATTTACAACGAGGGATCTTTAACGTCCACTGTGAGGCAGGCGGTTATAAGACCCGCGGCAATAACCAGGGCGGTCGCTGAAATCGAACCGTGAACGTCTGCAACAAGCGGCGAACGCGCCATCGCCAGGACTCGTCACCGCACCAAGCGTGACCAAATAAAACACCGTAACTCGCACGGCGTGGGGAGGCCTTCAGGCAGCAGTGGGTTGATCGTGGCCGCTGATGATGGCGATTCCTTTTGCAGGCGGGGCCCCCATGGAGGTGATGGTGGAGCACCTGGCTCGCTGGCACGGCAGCCCCCAGGGCACGGGCGTGCTCGATGTGCCCCCGGGGCTCCCGCATGGATATGGGGAGTCGAACCCGCTCCTGGGTGCAGCCGTGCCGGGGCAACTCCACGGCAACCTCCATCATCACCACCACCACCATCAGCAGCAGCAACAGCAGCAGCAGCATCAGCATCATCAACACCAGCAGCAGCAGCATCAGCATCAGCAGCAGCAACAACAACAACATCATCATCAGCAGCAGCAGCAGCCCATGCCGCTGCACAGTGAGGATCTGGAGGTGTTTGTGGGGCTGCTGGATGCTCAGGGACATCCGAACGTGCCCGGGGCGAGTGCAGAGTACAGAGCAGCGACTCACGGTGAGAGACACGGGAGACATGGACACGGGGAGAGTGGGGCACGGGGAGAGATGGACATGGGGAGAGATGGACACGGGGAGAGATGGACACGGGGAGAGATTGACACGGGGAGAGATGGACACGGGGAGAGATGGACACGGGGAGAGATGGACACGGGGAGAGATGGACACGGGGAGAGATGAACACGGGAGACATGAACACGGGGAGCGATGAACACGGGGAGAGATGGACACGGGGAGAGATGGAGACGGGGAGAGTGGCACGGGGAGAGATGGACACGGGGAGAGATGAACACGGGGAGAGATGGACACGGGGAGAGATGGACACGGGGAGAGTGGCACGGGGAGAGATGAACACGGGGAGAGATGGACACGGGGAGAGATGGACACGGGGAGAGATGGACACGAGGAGAGATGGACACGGGGAGAGATGGACACGGGGAGAGGGTCACGGGCAGAGGGAGACACGGGGAGAGGCAGACAATTCAAATGAGACAATGCATTCAAATGTAAAGGGGCAGCACCGAAATTCCTCGCTCACGCCCCTGCTGGTGGAAGGGCCTCCACTCGAGGCAGCTCTAGAGGCCTACTCTTCCACGTGGGCCATCCATCTCTGAAGGGATGGTAGTACCCACACTTTAACCCACGACTGTCTGCCGTAACCATTTACACTGCTGGGCCGAATCAGTGGATTGAAGCCATTTGCCTATGAACCGCCAACTTCTATTATCCGTATGCACTGTTGACTTTTCCCTCTGGTGTACATACACAGCCCAGTCTCAATCCACTGCTGGATGAGGGCCTCTCCCCACGCCGTGAGGGTCGTTATGGTTATTGGCCATACTTCATCGCGTTGGTCAGTGCGAGTTGGTCAAGGCGGGAAGTAGAGACGTTGGACCATAGATGTGTAACGGACAGTATAGTACAACAGTTGCGGCATTTTAAATGTGCGAAGTCAAAGGCCTGCAAGCCTCACCACAAGCAGGTGATGTCGTCTTAACATGCAAAGTATGCTGGCACATATATATACTTTTTGCATCCATATGCGCTGGTTACGTGTCGCGAACATTTACTAAAAAAACTTTATCGGGTGTCTCTACGTGGCGAGTCAGATACGATGTTGTTATTTAAATTCCACACAAGGCTCGCGATCGTTGTGCGTGCACATCAGCGCGTCTCCCGTCAAACGCGCGTCGCAGTCGAGAGCAACAACACGTGCAGACGGTCAAATTTGACACCGACGGTCGTAACACGGAGATTGCAGCGAGACGAATGCACATCACTGGGCTCTCGTGAGGCTTAACTAAAGGACGTGCAGCACTTAAAGCAGCTCAGTGGACTCTCGTGTGTGGTTCAATACAGAACGTGAATAAATCATGAATGTCAACGGGGTATCGTGGCTAAATAAAGGACGCGCATATATGTTGCGCCTCAGTGCGCTCCCGTGTGGTTAGAGGACACGCAGACATGATGCAGCTCAATGGTCTCTGATGTGGTTAAATACGGGACTTTAATCTCCATCTTCTTGGTTCTTTCGGTAAAGTCACGTAGAAGGGAAATAATAAAATAATAAAAATAAAACATAATAAAATACAATTCTCACGACGTTTCGGCCACAACGCAAGCAGCCTTCCTCAGGTGAAGAACAGGTCTGTCGGAAAGACAGCGTCTGAATGAGCTTATGTTTTATTTTTATTATTTTATTATTTCCTTTCTACGTGACTTTACCGAAAGAACCAAGAAGATGAATCCCTGCAGTCACGAAAGCTTTAACTCAAAATGTAATCTCCTTATATATAAAAGGCTAAGTTGTGAATATGTGTGTCTGTTCAAAAAATGTTTAGCGTACTTCCCGACATGCAAAAAACTTGATATTTGCCATGTGTGTACTTTCCAGAATGTACACCATGCAAAAATTATAAAAATACACTTTAGTTTTTTTTTTGGCGGGGGGGGGGCTCTATAATGCATATATTTTTTGCACGGTAAGTGAGCTGTGACGTCAAATATGTCATGTGACCCGCGCACGTGGAAGCGTAACGCATTGTAGTGTCGTGGTTAGCGCTACGCTGCGCGCGCTACGAACCCAAAAGCGGCCGGGCGTGGTGGATCCAAGTCCCGGGCGAAGCCGGGTAGTACAGCTAGTGAAAAATAAATCTCGACTGGCCATCGTGGTTAAATGGAGGACAATGCACGTACAGTCCATCTCAGTGGGCTTCTCACACGCCTCGATAAAGAGCATAAAGCCGTGAGATAATAATCAACACGTTTGGGGCACGCGTGAGAGAGACATTGAGGAATGAGGATGGATGAGTCTCTGGACACGAGGCAAGGGAGGCGCTGCTACTACTGCTGCCTGGACTATGCATTCCCGTGTCGGCTACACAGGCTGCTTGCTGCTGCTGTTGCTGCTGCTGCTTCTGCTGCTGCTACTGCTTCTACTGCTGCTGCTACTGCTGCTGCTACTGCTTCTACTGCTGCTGCTTGTTGCTGCTGCTGCTACTGCTGATGTTTGCTGCTACTGCTGCTGCTTGTTGCTGCTGCGCTACTGCTGCTACTGCTGCTGTTTGCTGCTGCTACTGATTCTACTGCTGTTGCTTGTTGCTGCTGCTGCTACTGCTGCTACTACTGCTGCTGCTGCTACTCTGCTGCTGGCTGCTGCTGCTACTGCTGCATCCTGCTGTTGCTTGCTGCTGCTACTGCTTCTACTGCTGCTGCTTGTTGCTGCTGCTGCTACTGCTGCTGCTTGCTGCTGCTGCTGCTGCTACTGCTGCTACTGCTGCTGCTTGCTGCTGCTGCTTGCTGCTGCTACTGCTTGTTGCTGTTGCTGCTGCTACTGGGGCAGCGTGAGAGCACCGTTGTCGTTCTTCAGCAGCTGTGAAGGACAGCACCACGGTGGCGTGGCTACAGCCGATGTTAGATTACAAAGAAATGGCTACAAGTTGAAAACTAGGGGACAGAAAAAATTGCACGCTGTATTATTTGGTTCTTTCGGTAAAGTAGCGCAGGCAGAAGAAATAGTAGATCACGACGTTCCGATCGCAACACAAGCAACAGTCATCATTGATGATGATGACGAGAGATGAATAAGTGGGGAGAGTGGGGCACGGGGAGAGTGACATCAATGATGACGATTGCTGGTGCTGCGATCGAAACGTCGTGATCTATTATTTTCTACCTACGTGACTTTACCAAAAGAACCAAATAGTATGGATTCCTGCAGTCACGAAAGCTTCAGATCAAGATTAAGCTGCACGCTGAAACGGGACTGCGTGAAAAATAAAAATAAGTTTTACTCATTTTCGGCAAAAAAAGACGCGTGTTAAGATATTCAAACACCAAATAGATTCCTTTTGCAAATGAATCAAGTTCTGCATTGACGACAAGGTCATTGCGGTGAACGTGCAAAGGAAGAACTTCCCCACGATAAACGGTACTGCATTAGCAGTGAGAAGTAGCGTGCTAACCGTTATGTAGAAATCTGAATTAATCTGGAATAGATTATAATCTATAACTATTAAAGTCCATCGTGCCATTTGTCACTTGTCTAATTTGACCAGCTACCGTGAATGGCCGCTGGCGTCACGCTCTGCCACATTCGCCTCCCCAGCGCCGATGTGTGGCACGCCGCGCCAGGCACAGCGCTCACTTTAGTGGCGACCGAGTGGAGCGAGACGGAGGCTCAGGAACCGGTCCACACGCTCGTCAAGCCATGCTGACCGTGAGCGGCAAATCGGAACGCGCGTGGCCGTGCTCGGAGGGTGCAACGTGAGAACGATTTTGCCCCACTGCGATTCCACTCGCCTCGGTCCAAACACGCGCACACTCGCAAGGGGCCGTCCATAAATGACGTCACGCACCTAGGGGGGTGGGGGGGGGGTCAGACATTTGTGACGATGTGTGACGATGGGGGGGGGGGGGTTGAGAAATGTTACGTCACGTAAAAATGCGCAACTTTAAATAAATATAGACAACACATTCTACTTAATTAAATACTTTTTTAAAATAAATATTTTCTCCTACAACATCAGAGTGCAGCGCCACATTAATACGCACTACAATGACAATAGTTTAAAGCGATTTGAAGCATGTTTAATTTTTTTTGAGGGGGGGGGCAGAGCTTTGTGACGTCATATTCGACGAAGGGGGTCAAAAATCGTCCAAAATCGCGTGACGTCATTTATGGACGCCCCCCAACTTGTGGTGGTGGTGGTGGTGGCGGGTGAGACGACGATGATGCCAGCACACCTGCGCGCAGCCAGGACAGCCAGGACACGCGGTGGAACCCCCGAGGGCTCGAAGGCGAATTCGAAGGCCGTTCTTAAACTATTGACAAACGACGCTATAAGCGAGCCGAGAGCCCTGCGGCTCAACCTCCCCCCCCCCGCCTGCCGCCCCCCACCGCATCCGCGTGGAGGTCTCCCTCCCTTCGCTGCGGTCTCTCTCACCTGACATTCCCTCTCGAGGCTGGCCCCAGCGACACCTCGCCGCTCTCTTGGCTCGCGTGAACCGTGGCTAGTTGCCTGCCTCCAGAACCGGCCCGAGACCTTTGGGGGCCCTAAGCAAAATTTGGTTGGAGGCCCCTTTGATGTATGATTTTTTTCACCCACTAATTAGCAGTGACTCTAGGGGGCCCTCTGCTGGCCACGGGGCCCTTTGCAATTGCAAGGGTCGCTTAGTGGCTGGGCTGGCTCTGCCTGCCTCCTGCCAAGGGAGCCTCTGTTGGGTTGGGGCGTGCGCGCTCCTGACTCTCTCGCACTCTCACGCCGTCTAATGCCGCTGGCACGCAGCGTCATTACTCTGAGTCTCGCTGCTTTCCCGATGTAATTACACGTTGAACTTTCGCACCGCACGCGGACAACCATGCTAATCGGAGGCGTGGAAGCTCACCCACACGGTCGAAAGATCTGAGCACCTGTGTTCCGTGTGCTACATTGTGTCTTCATTACTTTTTTGGGGGGGGGGGGGGTTAGTTGTTTTTTTCGGATGCACGCTGGATGTTACTTTTCTCAGGGTGCAGATGTTGGCCAACTCCGCTCGCTCGGCTGCCATTCGTCGACTTCTCCTGTGCTCGCATTTTCTCCAAGTTTTGCCCCCCCCCACTCGTTTAGCACTAATTACCTGGCTACAGTGCACGCTCCGCTCACCAACTCCATCCTCAAGATGTAAATCATCCTGCCAGTCACGAGACGTGACGAGATCTCACTGTACAAACGTAAGAGCAATCCTGTATCATACTATAATCATCATCAACAACAGACGAGATATATCCACTATTGGTAAGATTTATCCCCAAGCCATCAGCATCTCTCTTATGGACTTGTGATGCAACAATCAATCTCTTTCCCGCACGCGAGCGAATTTTAATCGCTCCATCTCCGCGGTGGGTGCCTTCGCGGGCGCGTTGATCCTTCCATTAGCTGCCGTTCCATAGTTTTGTCTCCGCACCGAACATGCTTGTACTATTTCACTGCGGAGAAGTAATACAAATTTGTTTCATCCGAACACAATGCATCTACGTTCTTGGTTCTTTCGGTAAAGTCACGTAGAATGGAAACAATAAAAATAATAAAATAAAATAATTCTCACGACGTTTCGGCCACAACGCAAGCAGCCGTCATCAGGTGAAGACAGACCTAAAATAATTCTCACGACACATAATTCTCACGACGTTTCGGCCACAACGCAAGCAGCCGTCATCAGGTGACCTGGTCACCTACGTGACTTTACCGAAAGAACCAAGAAGATGAATACCTGCAGTCACGAAAGCTTTAAATCGAAATTACAATGCATCTACGTTGAACTTCTTTCGCATCGTACGTAGCCAACCGTGCTAAATGCAGCTTTGAATAAATGACTTTTCAATCTAAATTTTAAAGTGCATAGCTCCAGTGGCTTGCTAATATCGGAAGGAAGAGCGTTCCAGACGGCCACAAAAGCGCATTTGAAAGCGCGCGATGTGGTGACCGTCTTTGTTCGATGCCCAGCCAAAAGCCGCCACTGCTGCGAGGATGACCTAGTTTTTGTGAATGATTACATCTCGCGGTATTTAATATCCACTTTACTAAGGCAGACAGCACACTTCGTTAATTCTCAGTAATTTGTGGAGTCCTAAGTAAACATTTATGTTAAATCTTTAGTCACATCTCGCTGATTAACTAAACACGGAGCGGCTCTGTAAAGGGCTTATGACTTGAGGCCCATCGCTGATTAACCAAGAATGAAGATGACCAAAAGGTTTTTTATTTTTATTTGTATGCAATGCCATTCTACTTGCGCTGTTGTTGGCGTCACGGTGTTACGAGAAGAGGTGTCCACTCTTGCAGATTTCACTAAACTCGTGAAGCCCCTTCGAGTGACATCTTGTCCACCCCAGGAGGAGCGCTTTCCCATACATCCCGCCGTGCAGATAAATGTCCATCGTGTGACCATTAGTGATATATTTAATTCTTAGAGTGATATGTTTTGTTGAATTGGAGTGAAAACTTAATCTGCTCCAAGTTTCGTGGTGTGCACTTTATGATGGCTGTGCCGAAATTTAAAAAAAAATTGTCACTTAATTTGGGTAAAATCCAGCTCTTAAAAATATAACTTTGATTTCCATGCAATGAGCATTTCACTGTGTGCTAGGGCACATGGGAATGTTCGTACCCAAGTGTGGATGAGAAGTGACCTCATAAGTTCAGTGAAATCTGCTTTTGCTCACAAGATCAGTGCCCTTAGAGTCTCAGAGGGCACGAGTGAGATTCGCCCTCTGTGCTCTAAAGCCATCAGCTGGATTTACGACTTAAACATCACAAAGAGAGAGAGAGAGTGTTCGGCCCTCTTGTCCACCTGGAAATTACCGCAGGTTTTCACTGACAGTGGCGCTGCTGGTGTTGTCCCGTGCCCCGCGTGTTGCAGCTCGTCTGGCCGGCACGACCCACCCCGTGTGCAGGCCCCAGCTGCGATTCCCGTGGCTGCAGGAGAGCGGCGGCAACTCGTCCACCCCCGCTCCTCCGCACCACCACCTCCACCCCCACCACCACCTGCACCACGGCCACCACCACCACCACCTCAACCACCTGAATCAGCTGAGCCACGCGGCTGTCACCACCGCCTGGGCCCTGCGCGAGCCTCTGGCCAAGGCGCGGCCGTCCCCGTACCCCCACGCCACGCCGCTCGCAGCGCCGCCCGCCCGGGGCGAGCGGGGCGAGCGGGGCGAGCGGGGCGAGCGGGGCTTCCCGTTGCCCCCGACGCCGCCAAAGGAGGGTGGCGGCAACGGTGGCAACGGCGGCGCCAGCTGCGGAGCCTCGCCGGACCCGGATCCGGCGGCGGGGGCAGGGGCGTCGCCGTCCCCACGGAGCGAGGGCAGCCCGGGCCCGGGGGGCCCGGCGCGATCGCGCCACGGCGGCCCCGCGGGCCTCGAGGAGCGTGGGGAGCCGGCGGGGTTCCCCGCCGCGCTGGGCGCCTACCCGGCGTGCCCGCCGGGCCACCTGGACGGGGACGACGAGGAGGGGGAGGCCGGCCGAGGCAGAGGCAGGGGCCGCGGTGGCATGGGTAAATAGGAAGCCATGCACGCACATGCACACACATGCGGTTGTCGAAAATATTCCAACCGTTAATTAGATGTTTTAATCGACTGCTGGATGAAGGCCTCACCCACATCGTGTCGATTTCTGGGCCGGTATGTGACCATACTGGCCCACGCCGGTCAATGCGGGTTGGTGGTGAATGGTGGTGGGTCGCCGGCCAGACGAGCTGCGACATCGACTCGCCGCCGATGTTTGCCGTGACCGGCACGGGAACATCTATTGTCCACCACACAACCGAGCCGTGTGGGGACAATGCCCAGTCAGCTCAGAAGGCGCCAGGTTTTTTCTTTTCATCCACGAGTCATTCGTCCCCGTCCACCCCGGCCCTACGTGCCCCCACCGAGCTAGATTTGCACATCTTAGTAGGCCGTGTTATCACGGTTTGGTTCCGGCTCGGCATGGCAAATAGCCAGTGGAAAAACCACACGTACCACGAAAGCCCCCTGGCTTGGCTCGTGACAGTGGAAAGAGGAACAAGTGTTTGTTTTATACGTCCTATCATTGTTGTTGTTGCTATGGAGCATTGTGTAATACAGTATACAGCCACTTTGTCAATCTACCGCTGGAACTGCTCAGGAGTGTAAATGCCAAAATAGTTTGGGAACAACATTTGCAGTCCTATATTTGAGATTGAGATACTGAAAGGGTATGAAGTAATATAAACAAAGGATCATGACGGAGTGCAAGCGTCACGGATGTAAATGTTCAGTAAAGTAGAAATCTTGGCACAACTAGAATATATAACTAGAAAAGTTATAACGAGAAAAATCCGAAAAACAGAATGTTAGAAATTGACGACTGTGATTACACTCAACGCGCAGGTTCAGCCGAAGACTCGAAATTGCTTTTCAAGTGTCGTACTCAATAAACACCCACAAATGTATGCTCCCAATCATCTGTGAAGAAAGTAATTCACCTTCCAGATTCTATTTTCACATACATAGCACAATTTGTACAATTTAGACCGCCATTCAGATTCTGTTTGCTTTTTTACGAGGGTGCTGCTTGAGACGTTTGACCAATCTGTTGTTCAATAAATTGGGTGTGTGGTTGGATAGCAGAGGACCTGCAACAACAAAAAATTCACACAAGCGTGCGTAGAATGCTCGAACATCCACACAAATAGGCCCACACCCTACTTTCTGTACCACAATATACTAACGCTCCTCCTATATTTTACACTTAAAAGTCTCGCATAAATCAGCCTTACTGGGTAGGAATGTCAAAATCTAGTGAAACAAAAAATTACTTATTTTATCAACGCAGAGAGATGACGCATGAGCAAGATACCTTTGCTGCTGTGAGTCGGGCGCTCTGCTGCAGCATCAAACGGCTCACACACAGAGACCACGCTGGGCCCACGAGTTTGCAGAAGTGTCAAGTGGATGATGTGCATCGTCACTCACGAAGATAAAGCCCCCCCCCCCCCCCCCCCATATACAGCCTTAACAGGCTGTTGGAGCAAGTCCGACAAAGGCTGGCACACGGAACGATGGTGTGGCATGGCCAACAGCACACGCCTGGTCGCGTTTGTATCCCCAATGCTGATAATGACACACCTGCATCAGGGATGTATGTAAGGCTGAGTTGACCTCGGGGAGGCCCACGACCTGTTCAGACATTTGTCACTGCGATGTCGAACTCAGGTGTCCAGGTTCGTCGCACAACCACCGCAACCACCGTTTTTACACAAGACAAAGATCCCCTGTATAGCCGTGAAAGACTGTTGGAGCAAGTGCCGTTGGCGAGCACGACAATCACGTGTGCAAGACGTCATTGTGTCAGCCTTGGCTCGCACTGCAGCACCACAGCCTCAGTCCCCCCGTCTCTCCCCCTCCCCGTGCGCCAGAGGGCCGTGAATGCGCCAACTGTGGGGCTACGTTCACCCCGCTGTGGAGGCGGGATGCCAACGGACACTACCTGTGCAACGCGTGCGGCCTCTACCACAAGATGAACGGCCACAACCGCCCGCTCATCCGGCCTAAGCGCCGACCGGTAGGCACCACACTCACACACACGCACACGCACGCACGCACGCACGCACGTTCACATGCACGCGCACGCACACCACGCTCACAGGCACGCTCACATGCATGCACGCACACATACACGCTCGCACGCACGCACACACGCACACACGCACACGCACGCTCGCACGCTCACACGCATGCACGCACACATGCACACTCGCACGCTCGGACACATGCCCGCTCACACGCACGCTCACACGCATGCAATAGCATATGCGCAGAGAGACGCGCAGACACATACGTACGCACTTGCACACGTGCACACACAAAGACATATACACACGCAGAGATGAACACATGCAAGATGCAAACTCATGTTGCATTGTATGGGCACACAACAAAAATCAACGTTCGGCATCCGTCTGTTTCCTCTTACACTGCGCGTGAGTAATTGCTCATCGCTCATTTGGTAAGCGCAAGTCTTGATCCCGTTACTGAATTGATCCAAACTTGTCAATGGAGTGAAATCTAACAACGATAAAAATCACCACATTTGTCAAACAACACTGAGGACTTCAAATCAATAAAGATATAATAGGCGACGTTCCTGGCAATGGCCCTACCGCGTAGCACATCAACGATGCAGTAGTGTGGTCAGGCAGACCCGTTCGACGCTATGTTCCCCTGTTCGAGCAAGCGCTGTTATCGAGCATCTAATTGCAATCTTCAAAGTCCTTGCTCAAGCGTGGTGTTCCGGGCTTAGCGCTGCGTGCTGAGCATTTCCACTGCCGGAGCTTTTCCCCAACGTGCCAATGTGCGGGGCATTGTCAGGAGTCGCGTGTTATCCCGCACAATGCATCTGACCATCCCGTGACGCGTCCCCGAATCTCAAGGCCGCGTGACGAGCGGGATCCATACTCTTTGGTTCTTTCGGTAAAGTCACGTGGGTATAAAATATGGAATAAATTAAATCACGACGTTTCAGGTGCAACACAAGCGTCCGTCATCAGGTGGGACAACCACAGCAAGAAACAACACTGCTGCCCACTGATTGTTACGCCCGAAACGTCGTGATTTAATTTATTCTATATTCTATGCCTACGTGACTTTACCGAAAGAACCAAAGAGTATAGATCCCGGCAGTTACGAAAACTTCAAATCTAGATTGAGTGAGCCTTTCCCGCCCCCCACACGGAGCCAAACGCCTCGTGTTGACTCTGCCGCTCTGCGTGTCGTGCGACTCCGCTGCTCTGCGAGCAGTCGGCGGCGCGGCGCTGCGGCACGGCGTGCGCCAACTGCCAGACGAGCGCCACGACGCTGTGGAGGCGCAACGCCAGCGGCGAGCCGGTGTGCAACGCGTGCGGCCTCTACTACAAGCTGCACAACGTGAGGCGTCCTGCTCGCACGCACACACGCACACGCGCACACTCCTGGTGTTACACGTATCCTGCGTACACGCGCACACGCGCACACTCCTGGTGTCACACGTATCCTGCGTACACGCGCACAGGCGCACACTCCTTGTGTCAGACGCACGTATCCTGCATACACGCGCACACTCCTGGGTTCACACGTATCCTGCGCACACGCACACTCACACACACTCCTGGGTTCACGCGTATCCTGCGTACACACGCACACTCCTGGTGTCACACGCACGTATCCTGCGTACACGCGCACACGTACGCACGTGCTCGTGCGCACGCAGCGGAAGATGTGCCGGTGTGCGACGGGATGTCTTGCCGAATGCCGCTTAGAACACCGGACACGTATGCCCGGTAAAACGTGGTACGTTGGGCGAACGATCCCAGCCACTTCCAAATGCTGGCCCGACGTTGCACGTAGCGCAGTGCGTAAGGCACTGCACCGCCACTCCCCACATTACTGAGTACACGCAGATAGATGCCTCTATTCGCTCTGATGTTAACGGGTAAATGGTGATCAGAGCGACGAGCCCACAGAGTTGTGCGGTGCGATTGACCGACACGCACTGCAGCAACGACCATCTGCCGCGACCGATCTGCGGCCAGTGCCGTGGACATCCCCCTCACGTTCCTGCCATGCCGCAATCCATCCGGGTTCTAAACGCGAGTGGATTTCGCCGCTGCATCTCCTCGGTGGATGTCCTTTCCTCGGGCACTTTCCCCTCCCTCGGCCGCCACCCCCCATCCTCATCCTTGAACATTGGCCGCCGTCACCCCTTCTGGCGTCGCTTAATCACGCGCGCGGTTTGTTGTCCTTCCCCCGCACCTCCGATTAGCGTGGTTGGCTATGTACGGCGCAAAAGAAGTTCAACATACGTACATTGCCAGTGGCTCTGCGCGAACCGTCGGCTGAATTTTTGTTAAACTAAGCTTTATTTATTCTACCGGGACAGGCCCACTGAGCAAAACTTTTCAGAAGCGACCTGGCCACAAATGACAGCTCAACGAAGTGGCTTATCACGTGGCAATTTATTGCAGCCAAATACTCTAAACGCGTGATGTTGATTCTAAAATGTGATCCGGAGAAAAGTCCACGCGACCACGTGGAGAGAGACACACAAACTCCAAATATACAACAGGCGTCAGGGTCGGGATCGAACCCACAGCCTCCTGCATACTGAGACGCCGCTGCCGTTACCCCCTCCCCCTCCCCGCCGCGCGCAGGTGAACCGCCCCATCACGATGAAGAAGGACGGCATCCAGACGCGCAATCGGAAGTCGTCCGGCAAGCCGGGCAAGCACGGCAAGAGCCGGCGCTCGCTCGCGAGCCCGGGCCGCTCGCAGACGCTGCCGCTCCTCGCCGGGGCCTACGACAGGCCCCGCGCCATCGCGTTCGGCGGCGGCGCCCTGCCGCCCGCTCACCTCTCGTCGGTTCACCTGGCGGGCGCCGCGCACGCGCTGCCCTCGCTCGCTCAGCTGCACACGGCCGCATCGTCCCTGCCGCTCGCTCCTCACCTCCACAACCATCACCTGTCGCACCATCACCTGTCGCACCATCACCTGCAGCAGCAGCATCAACAGCAGCAGCATCAGCAGCATCTTCTTCACCAGCACCAGCAGCAACAGCAGCGTCATCACGAGCAACATAATCACCTTCAACACCAGCATCATCATCATTTGCAGCTTCATCAACAGCAGCTCGGCTTACAGACGCCCACAGGTATGGTCTCGGCTCTGGGCTAGTGGAACGTTGCTCTAAGTCTTTTGTTGAGGATGATGGGCTAGTCTTGGTCACGAGACTACAATGGTGTAGGCTGCTTCGCATGGGCCCTGGTGTGAAGAATCACCATGGAGTCCCCTATTCAAATTCTCCCTCTCTTCGCAAGGCCGACACCTGGGCCCCTCTGGCCTGTGGCCCCCCGGTGCAGTCGCACCACCTGCACACTCGATAGCTACGCCGCTGGAGACTACAGAGATGAGACGAATCGGTGTCTGGTGCAATTATCTTTTATGGTGTTGATGTGACTTTTAAAAATTACACTCTATCCACCCCCCACCGCGTCTTCAACCCTTTCCAAAAAAAAAATATGAATACTGAAGAATTTGTTTACTCCACACATATTGACATTCTATTTTGCCAATGTGATTAAAAGAGAAAAAGTGCAGTTTGTGCCCAGTCTCATCATCATCACCATCATCGTCATCATCATCATCAGCCATGGTCAATCCACTGCTGGATGAAGGCTTCCCCAAGCAGCCGGCACCTCTGACAACCCCGCGTTGCAACGACCCACCGGGCCCCTGCACCCGAGCTGACTTCATCGCTGCGTCTCCTTGGTGGGCGCCAGCGCCGCAAGTGCCTCTTTCTACATCGCCGGTTAAAATGATCGCAATTCCCCACTTGAAGAACTGTATTAAACTCTAAGCCGCTGCTCACTATTTTGGAGCAGCCCTCAAGGCAAGCTATAAACATAATGGAGAAGAAACGCAACGCATTCGTCAATAAGACTGTGGCCTTAAAAATATCTAAAATCGGCAAACGTTGCAGGCAATGGCCCTCCTTCCTCAGCACATAGAAAGGCCAAACAAGTCGAGTGAAGGTTTGACGGCTGGAGTGCCACATCTGTTTTCAGCGGACGCTGCAGGAAAACGAACTCTTACTGTGAACATTGGTGAAGCTGTGGACACTGAGGGACGTTTCTCAACGTTGCTGCTGCTGCTGCTGTCGTCGTTTGCTGCCGGAAAGGGACATTTGAGTGAGACCAACGAAAATGTGAAAAAAAGAGAGGGCTTCATATTTTCTGGTGAGCAATCGACTGCCCGCTACGATACATTCATTATCTGCTCGCGAGATAACTGTTAGACGACAATAAATAGGACGGAGCTGTTTTTCTACAACCGCAAAAAAACATGTTTGCGTTTGGGGTACGACACTGCTAAATTTGAAAACGAAGACAACGTTCCTTATCACTGTGCCGCGAAAGCGCGGTTGATAGACGACTACATGGTCAAATAAAATAAACATTATTCAACTCCACACACCTCAAGGTGTGCTTGACTAAATCTACACAACTACAGAGGAATCCTCCTCTCAGTCCACTGGTGGATGGACCACTTCGTTCACCGCTCTAAAGTTTGGAAATATATTAACCAATATGGTTCCCTTTTCTATACCTTATCTCAAATGTTGTACTTCCTTACCCTAATAATAGTGAATTGAAAACATTATACAGCACAGTATCTATTTTGTACCACCCAAGATTAACCCTGCCACCCAATCACCACTATGGTCATTGGTCGCCAAAGACCAGAGACAACTCAATCGATTGGCTGGCGGTGTGCACAAAGCAATCAGTGAGGGTAGAGGCGCAGCTGTGAAACTGCCTAGCTCACACCCCTGTTGGCAGAAGGACCTTCACCACAGGGAAGCCTCATCTAGAGGGTCGCCCACTCTTCCACTTTGGCCAGCGTTGGGAATAAATTGGGATTTGCCCGGAGGTAACCCTCCCACTTACAAGTTGGTTAACGTTCAACATACGCAGAGACGGGTTCACAACCTTGTTGCTGAACAGCCTGTCGTCAAAGAGAACTCCATTACGTAGAGAGAGGTAGAACCCAGTCAAAATGAACAGGCGGCGACTGCTCTTGTGTAGATCTCCATGGTGAAGATAGAGGCGCAGCCCTGCAACATCTCCCTCACGCCACTGCAGGTGGAAGGGACTCCACTAGAGGGATCTCTGGAGGGTCCCTCGGGCGAGTGTATTTTGGCCTACTCTTCCACGTTGGCCAAACGTCTTGGAAGAGGTGGGCGTACCAAACACTTTACCCCACCTCTCGCGACCTGTCGATTGACCAACTGCGGTCGACAGAGGCCAGGGGCAGTTAAGAAGCCGACCCCTCGTTTCATCCGTTGCGCCGGAAGTTTGAACTGGAGCTCTTTGGATAGAATGTTCAGTGCGTTGCCCACCGCACCATGGCAGCGTGCTAGACTACTGACAACGATAGCAGCAACTGCCATGGATCAAGTGAGATGCAATGAAAAATCGCGTCGCTCTTGCAAGGGCGACCAAGGGACCGGTTTTTACCCCGATGCGAGCTGGGAGAAACAAAAGCTCGGGGTACATCCCGACTGCCCTCATTAGCTCTCCAGTGTGTCTCACGGCTGTTCCCACAATGCCGTTCGCCATCGATGTCCGACGGTGGGACCTGGCCCAGAAAATGCGCCGGAGAGCCGCAACGCAGCACGATCGCGAAGGGCTCGGCAGTATCTTCTTGGTTCTTTCGGTAAAGTCACGTAGAAGGGAAATTAAAAAAAAATTCTCACGACGTTTCGACCACAACACAAGCAGCCGTCCACAGGTGAAGAAACAGAGCTGTCGGAAAGACAGCGTCCCAATGAACACCGCCAAGCTTGGCAGCGTATATTTAAGCTGGGTCGGGGGAGGAGAGCGCCTTGACAAAGGAGTTTACATATCAACAGCGGAAGTAGTACAACTGCCTGGAAAGTCCTAGGCGGTAGTACGACAGAGAGACCGCGTTCAGCACGAACCAATCGTCGGGGACCAATCTTTGATTACGTTGTGTGCAATAAATTAAGTGCCTTAAAAAAAACCGATGTATTATCACACTGGCGTTGCCTTCCATCGGACCGCAATAAACAAACGGGCCCTCCTTGCCTTAAGTTTGTTGAGTCCGCGTAGAGCTTGCGGTTGGGATTTTTCACCCACTTCAAATCTTTCACATGCCGCCTCTTTCTACGATGTTTGTTGTTTTGGTGTTCGCCGGCCAAAGGCTGCGCTAAACCTGTCTCAGAACACGTTACCCCACCAATAGAACACTCGCTAGAAGCGCCCCATTGCCGTTCGCTCGGTCGCCACTGCTGTTCGTGAACTGAATGCAAAATGACTTGACGTTTAAACGGCGGTGAAACGTAAACCAACTCAAAGTTGGCTCGCGTTTGCGGCAATGTGTTTGTTTCTGGTCCTGAGATATTAACAATGTGTGGCCCAATAGTTTGTAAGTTAAGGCATGCGATGCCTCCCCAAATGCTGCGATTCAAAATAATTTGTTTGTAAAAAACAACCACGTCTCATGCTATATTTTGCCAGCATCAAGATATTGAATGATTTAAAAAGGCTTTATTATACTTTCCGGCGTAAAACAGGAGGTTGTTACGAGGCATCATGTCTGCGTAACCGCACAACGCTTTAGTAACGTATGCATTGCCCTTGAAACGTATTGGCTTGTATCACAGACATCCTTTTTATGGCCTTGTCTCAGCAGTGCTATAGACCAAAGGCTGCCAAAAGGGGGAAAACAGTGCAAAGACAATGCGAACGCCAAAGCATTAATAGTTCGCGTTACGCCGTTATGTCTTTGGAACCCTCATGCCAGTATCAAGATATTGAATATTCCGGGAACGGTCGTGTGCTGAAATTGGACGTGCGGTCAAACCAAATTCAAATAAACGACGGCGGTTGTTTTCATAGCGGACGCTTTTGTTTTCCAAAAGTGTCGTTTTTTTTTACGAACCTATTTTAAAATATTGTGACTGCAAGTGTGTTTTTTCTTCCAGATTTTAAAGTAAATATATATGTACATAAAAAAATTAATCTAGACACAATCAGCGTCGGGGTTTGTTCAAAATATAATGTTTTATTGTTCCTGTGCTTTACTGCGCGTGTAAAACCTGTTATTCCGCTTGCTTTCGTTTATTTTTATCGATGTAGTGTGTCCCGTTCTGTACAATAAAGCCAATGACTACGCAGCATTTTGAGGTCACGGTGTGAAAGGGGCCTGAATGTGATGCAGTGGCATCCTCCATCCCGACACCGCGACGCCACTGAAACCCACTCAGGCTCATGTCACGTGCGACCAACACTCGGATAGACGAGGAGATTTGTGTTTTATCATCGGATTTGTGTGTTTCATCAGATTTGTGTCTTCTCATCAGATTTGTGTTTTATCATCAGATTTGTGTTTTATCCTCAAATTTGTGTTTTATCATCAGATTTGTGTGTTTATCATCAGATTTGTTTTTTCTCATCAGATTTGTGTTTATCATCAGATTTGTGTTTTATCATCGAATTTGTATTTTATCATCAGATTTGTGTTTTATCATCAGATTTGTGTGTTTATCATCAGATTTGTGTTTTATCATCAGATTTGTGTTTTCTCATCAAATTTGTGTGTTTATCATCAGATTTGTGTTGTATCATCAGATTTGTGTGTTTATCATCAGATTTGTGTTTTATCATCAGATTTGTGTTTTATCAGATTTGTGTTTATCATCAGATTTGTGTTTTTTCATAAGATTTGTGTTTTCTCATCAGATTTGTGTTTTATCATCAGATTTGTGTGTTTATCATCAGATTTGTGTTTAATCATCAGATTTGTGTTTTCTCATCAGATTTGTGTGTTTATCATCAGATTTGTGTTGTATCATCAGATTTGTGTGTTTATCATCAGATTTGTGTTTTATCATCAGATTTGTGTTTTATAATCAGATTTGTGTTTATCATCAGATTTGTGTTTTTTCATCAGATTTGTGTTTTCTCATCAGATTTGTGTTTATCATCAGATTTGTGTTTATCATCAGATTTGTGTTTTCTCATCAGATTTGTGTTTTTTCATCAGATTTCTGTTGTATCATTAGATTTCTGTTTTATCATCAGATTTGTGTTTTTCAACAGATTTGTGTTTATCTCATCATGTGTTCTGGGTAAAACGGTCTCTCGGTTGATCGCCGCTACTTTATCGTGATCCAGCAAAGGAGCCGCGCGTGTTCTATGCAGTTCGAGGCGTGCGTTTTATTCACTCCCACGGGGAGATTTGGGCAAGTGGTTATAACGTGAGAGAGAACAGCAATAATCAATAACACAACACAACCAACGACTCGTGTACGAACATTAACAAACGTGGTACCTTCACAGCCAGCTTACTTTAGTTTGGCTGCAGGAGCCTCTGGTATTTACACTAAATCAATATAATGTTAAACATTGCCACTTGGGAGTCCAAGCAGCATGGATTGTTTTTTCTCCTGGCCCTCCGGTTTTTTTTACCTTCACATTTAGAATGAACGTGCGTTTCGAGTGTTTCGCTGCTCTGCATGTCCACGCGATAAGCCACTTTGTTGGGCGATCATTTGTGGCCAGGTCGCTTCTGAAAAAGAGCTACATACAGTGAGGGAAAAAAAGTATTTGATCCCCTGCTGATTGTGTACGTTTGCCCACTGACAAAGAAATGATCAGTCTATAATTGTAATGGTAGGTTTATTTGAACAGTGAGAGACAGAATAACAACAACAACAAAAATCCAGATAAACGTATGTCAAAAATGTTATTAATTAATTTGAATTTTCCTGACTGCAGGAATCCATACTCTTTGGTTCATTCGGTAAAGTCACGTAGGTAGAAAAAACAATAGATCACGACGTTTCGATCGCAACACAAGCAATCGTCATCAGGCGAGACGTACGTGACTTTACCGAAAGAACCAACGAGTATAAACTAAAGCAGCTGATCGGAAATACGATGAGTAGCGGGAGAGACGTCCCAAGCGTCACTGTATCGCTCCCTTATTCGTATTGAGTTCTGCATGCCCAGTGGACACGATTGGGGCCTCTGTTTGGGCTGGTTTTGCAAACGTGCAAAGCACGACATGAACTTCTCAGAGTACAAAGTTTCAGATTTGAAAAAATATAAATATCTTCTCCTTGTCAGGATGCTCAGAGCGCAAGTGTGATATTGGTTTAAAAAACTTGCTTGGATTTAAACCACATAACTCTGAACGCAGAGGAAAGCACACAAACCACAAAGCACAGCCAATCACCACTACAATAATAAAAGCTCTATCAAATGTTTTACATTGTTTTTATAATTTTTTTCCGTAACTCGAAAACACGATGTTTCTGTGTCACGGGGGAGGGAAGAGAGGATGGGAGTTTGTATGGGTGGGGAGGAAGGTTTTAGTTTCACAAAGCCAACATCGTCAGTTGTTTCTCTCCCTTACGAGGTTGAATTCATTAGAAGCCGCAGTGTCTTTCGCGAGGGAAAGGCTTTAACGTGCCGGTAACGCCCTCCAATGTTACCTGCAGATTTCCCTGGGGTTTCATGCTTTGTCTGCGTCTGTGCGCGGGGGGGGGGCAGGTGGACGGTTACATGGCAGGATCATGAGGGTTGGCGACAGCTTTGGCGGAGGTCTTCACTGATGCGGCAGTGGATTTGATCACGGTTGACAATGATGCGCTTAAATTTCGATTTAAAGCTTTCGTGACTGCAGGGATTCATCTTCTTGGTTCTTTCGGTAAAGTCACGTAGAAGGGAAATAATAACATAATATAAATAAAACATGATAAAATAATTCTCACGAGGTTTCGGCCACAACGCAAGCAGCCGTCCTCAGGTGAAGAACAGGTCTGTCGGAAAGACAGCGTCTGAGGACGGCTGCTTGCGTTGTGGCCGAAACGTCGTGAGAATTATTTTTATTATGTTTTATTTTTATTATTTTATTATTTCCCTTCTACGTGACTTTACCGAAAGAACCAAGAAAATGATGCGCTTGATGTGAACGACGATGCATTTCGTACCAGATAGACCTTTCCCTGGCTTAAAGGCCAGTTGTACTTTCAGAAGACCTTGCTGTGAGAAATCCCACGCTCCCAAAAATGAAGATACAAGTATGAACCTGAGCTGGGAGAGCGGGTTGGAGATGTGTGTAGTGGCCAGGTGGAGCCGTGGTGAGTGTCTGGAGTAAAGTGAAGGTTTGCGTAGCCACGACTTGACAAGGGTTGACTGTGAGTCACTGCGAGAGAAGATTTCTCATCAGACAAAAACGCGTGTAACCTGCTGTCACCTGGCCCGCCTCGAACCCATCGCGTTATATTTATTTGTTTAAAACTACGCTTCCGCTCAAGAAAAAAAAGTGCTTTTGAGTTTTTGACACCTGTGCTTTGTATTGCAAGCGGTTAAGAGGAAGCTGTCAAAACTTTTGCAAAAATGATAAATTAAACGTGTGTGGTTTTATCGTACAGTGTGTGTATATATAACACTTAAGTTTATCTCTCAACTTAAAAAAAAATTCAATTCATCCAGCAGCATTTGTTTAAGCAAGCAAACTCTGGACTGGTTTCAACATTTTGGGTCTCATCAATATTCGGATTTATTAAACAGATCCTGCCGGGTTCGCCAAGTGTTCTTGCCAAACATTTATATCATAAGCCTGACGCTACTGATGAGATTGACAAGGTTGAAACCGGTATTTTGTGTGTCCACTTTTGTCTATTAAATGTTAGATGTTTTCAGCCAATTCGCGCGTGTTTATTAAACATGCGAGGGGGCAACACTCTATCCCGTACAGAAGGGACAGATGATAACAGTCCCCACTTTGCTGTGCTGCGTCCTGCTGGTAAGCGAGTGTATTTGCACTTCGAAGCCCAAGGGACGGGAGTTTCACAACACGTGTGTGTGTGACTGGTGTGTGTGACTGTGTGTGTGTGACTGTGTGTGTGGTGTGTGTGTGTGACTGTGTGTGTGTGACTGTGTGTGTGTGTGGTGTGTGTGTGTGACTGTGTGTGTGACTGTGTGTGTGTGAGGCTGGTGTGTATGTGGTGTGTGTGTGTGACTGTGTGTGTGTGTGGTGTGTGTGTGTGACTGTGTGTGTGTGTGACTGTGTGTGTGACTGGTGTGTGTGACTGTGTGTGTGACTGGTGTGTGTGTGGTGTGTGTGTGTGTGACTGTGTGTGTGTGACTGTGAGTGTGTGTGTGGTGTGTGTGTGAGTGACTGTGTGTGTGTGGTGTGTGTGTGTGTGACTGTGTGTGTGTGTGACTGTGAGTGTGTGTGTGGTGTGTGTGTGTGTGACTGTGAGTGTGTGACTGTGAGTGTGACTGGTGTGTGTGACTGTGTGTGTGACTGTGTGTGTGACTGTGTGTGTGTGAGGCTGGTGTGTGTGTGGTGTGTGTGTGTGACTGTGTGTGTGTGTGACTGTGTGTGTGACTGTGTGTGTGACTGTGTGTGTGTGAGGCTGGTGTGTGTGTGGTGTGTGTGTGTGACTGTGTGTGTGTGTGACTGTGTGTGTGACTGTGTGTGTGACTGTGTGTGTGTGAGGCTGGTGTGTGTGTGGTGTGTGTGTGTGACTGTGTGTGTGTGTGACTGTGTGTGTGTGACTGTGAGTGTGACTGTGTGTGTGTGTGACTGTGTGTGTGTGAGGCTGGTGTGTGTGTGGGGTGTGTGTGTGACTGTGTGTGTGGGTGTGTGTGGTGTATGGTTTGTGTGTGACTGTGTGTGTGTGATGTGTGTGTGTGACTGTGTGGGTGACTGTGTGTGTGTGACTGTGTGTGTGTTTGGTGACTGTGTGTGTGACTGTGTGTGTCTGACTGTGTGTGTGTGTGACTGTGTGTGTGTGACTGTGTGTGTGAGTGACTTGTGTGTGTGGTGGGTGTGTGTGACTGTGTGTGTGGTGTGTGTGTGTGACTGTGTGTGTGGGTGGTGTGTGTGTGTGTGACTGTGTGTGTGTGAGTGACTGTGTGTGTGTGAGGCTGGTGTGTGTGTGGTGTGTGTGTGTGACTGTGTGTGTGTGTGACTGTGTGTGTGTGGTGTGTGTGACTGTGTGTGTGTGACTGTGTGAGGCTGGTGTGTGACTGTGTGTGTGTGTGGTGTGGGTGACTGTGTGTGTGTGACTGTGTGTGTGAGGCTGGTGTGTGTGTGGGGTGTGTGTGTGACTGTGTGTGTGATTGTGTGTGTCTGACTG